TGTGCACAGAATCTTCATCTGGAAGATCTCATTTAGATTTCTCTAGATTTTTTTTCTTTATAATGCATATAAAATTGCATTTTAATATAATTAAATATTTTTTCTTATATTATGTATATATTTATTAAAACTATATATGAACTATATATTTTTTAACTTTATTTGAATTTATAACTAATTAAACCAAAAATTGTATTGGAAAATAGTATTGTAGGGTGTTTATTTCTTGTAAAATTATGGAAAATTTGGTTTTCTCAGAAATTTTTTTATATCTGAAAAAATTAGAGAATTCTTATGGAATTTTGTTGGAACTCAGGGAAGTTTTTATAGCTAATTTGATTCTTTGAACTTTGCTCTTATATTCTAAATAATTGATTAAATCCATTGATTGATTAATGTTATGAATTATATATATTTAAAATATACATGTTTTATAAATAATATCCTTATTTATATATCAAGTCTTAAGATCTTTCAAAAATATAAAATAGCACCTCTCAAGAATATAGAATATTGCAGTATATATTTTTCATTGTAATTTTTAATAATAAAAAGATAAAAAACGTTATGCTGATTAAAAATGTTTATCTTACGAAAGTATTATTCAGATATTTCCGATATATTTTCAAATTGTACTTTTGAATCTTAAAATGACTCTTTTCATTTTTTTTCATAGAATGGAAGCATCTTAAAAAATGAATACAAAAAGAGCATTTTTAGAAGTTGCATCAAATGTTTAAAAAAATTGAATTTTTGAACAAAATAATTTGAAAGATTAAGATAATTTTTGGAAAATCTTTATAACATTCGAATAGATATCTTGTATTATTTAGTAAATTTTATTACTGTCTTAATTAAAACAAATTTCAAAATACATTGTTAAAAATATAGGTTGATTATAGAGTAATTACAATATTATAATGTATGTCTCTATGAGATAATTTAACTTTAAAAGATAGTATTTCAATTATCAGGCTTCACTTCAAGAACTTAACAGAATTAATAAACAGTTGAAATTTGATTCATTGATTAATACTATAGAGAAATAAAAAAAATATTGCAATAATAATTAAAAGAACAAGAATGTTCAAATATAAATTTTCCAAAAATATTATTTTTTTTAATATTGGATACATAATGATATTAATTATTAGAGCATAAATTACAAAGATCACAAATATAACTTCCTGATTTAAGAAATAATATCATTGTGATTTAATCAACGAAAATGCAATATTTTCTGGAAAAACAATTTAGAAGATTAATTACTACTCATCAATTGAAGATTTTACAATCTGTTTCATCATTGTTCAATCAAACTAGTGTAAACAGCATATACAACAAGTTATAAAATAAATTTAATCAAAGCTGATTATTGGACAGTTGTAAAAAATACTGTATTTTAAGTTTTGTTTCATGAATACTGTATGAAAATAAGTGATTTTTAATATGTGATTTAATCAAATTATATATATATATATATTATATATATATATATATATATATAAAATTATATTTATATTTCAGAAAGTTGTACTATTACAAATATTATATTAATATAATGTATAATATTGTAAACACTGCAAGAAATGTTTAGTTACCTGTTTAGTTACCTCACTGAATTTGATTATAAAATATTTGTTGCAAATCTAACAAAGTAGAATAATAGTAGAGAAGATTTGTCTTTAAAAATTGCTAATATTTCTATTACTTGCAAATAAATAGTATATGCAATATTATTCTTGATGCTACAAATCAATAATAGAATATTACAAAATTATCAATAATAATAGAACTTAAATTTAATTTATATTACGCGCATACGCGTAGTGTGGTGTGAGATTTGAATAGTAAAAGGAGATATCAATAATCATTGAATTCATCGTTTGAAGACGTTAAAGAAGACAGAAATTATTGTCTGATTTATATTTGCTTACTCAAATTATATTATTAAAGCATAAGCATAATTATATTATAAATTATATTATAAGCATAGTAATAAATTATATAGGAGAAGGATCTAAACCAATATTCGACAGAGAAGAAATAGAAAAAAGCTACTAAGATTAATGAAATAGAAGAGCGACATACGGCTGCTATAGATGGAGAGCAGCAGTCAGGTACGCATTATAGAGATAATTTTGCTACATTATTTCAATTGTTATTTTAAATTTAAAATGTTATTGATTTTATAAATTAGTAAATTTGTAAAATTGCGATTGCAACTTTTCTCAGATTCCAAATTCTCTAGAAAAATATTTAAAAAAACCAGAGATGTATGTTACATGTTGTGTATAGAATCTCAGACCAACTGGATGCACATCTCATTTATAAATCTTTATTTAATTTAGCAAAATAATAGTTGTGTATCGATTTTAGTGTTCAACATTTTCTGAGTCTTCGATATATTAATATGTAACATATTTGAAAAAATTCTTGTATTTTAATGATATTACAGATTCAACCGATAAATCGCAAACTTCTTCATTATTGTCATCTATATTGTATGATTCTGAATATCTATCTTTCGACCAGTTTTCACCTAAGTCGCATACCAGGTATGGAATTAAATTATTGATATTTGTTTTTATTAACAAATTTTATAGTTCGTTATCATTAATATACTAAGATCGTCATCATTAACATTTTTATTATTGCAAAAAATATTAACATTTACAGAAATATTTAACATTAAATATATTATTAGATTAATTGAACTATACTTGCAAGAGAAATGTGCAAATATTTCTTTAAAAATATGTGGCCATTATTTATTTTATTATAATTATTATTTCTATTACTATTGTGTTATAGATCACTTATGGAAGAAAATCTTACCGCGACAGATATCGTGATAGATCGAGTGAACATTCTCGTAAAAGAAAAGACAGAAATAGAGATAGTGACAGATCCAGAAAACGAAGAAGAGATAAAGATAGAGATAGAGACAAATCCAGAGAACGAAGAAGAGACAGAGATAGAGATAGAGACAAATCCAGAGAACGAAGAAGAGACAGAGATAGAGATAGAGACAGATCTAGAGAACGAAAAGATATTGCACCGCATTATGTCGAGCCACCAATACACGTGCCAGACAGAGATAGAGATAGAGACAAATCCAAAGAACGAAAAGATGTTGCACCGCATTATGTCGAGTCACCAATACACGTGCCTATCTATTATGTGAGTTATATAATTCCATAGTCTAATTTTCAATCTAACGAGTCTCTATACAGACCTCCATAATACTTTAATTTGACTTGTAATTGGTTCATTTTTCAACTTCTAGAATCTTCCTCCAAGTCCAATTGTAGTAAGCCCTATGGTCCCATTTAGAGGACAAGTCCCTCCTATGGCAAGAGGGCCGACATTCTGCTCTAATGGCACCGGTTAGACCATTCCCTCCATGGTTTATTCCTCCGGATATGTACAGATTGCGACCTCCACCACCAAACCCAAGTAAATATAGATATTATATAAATGTAATATAAGGTATATTATATATATTTCATATATATGTATAATATGATATTTTGCAGGATATGGACCGTTTTAAAAATCTTTATAGTCTTTATACTTATTATTTTTTGTAACTTTATATGTTGAATAATATGGAATTGTGGTGAAAAAAGATATCACAAATTATTCAGCTAATCGTATTAATTTCAAGATTATAAAAGTGGGCGAACAAAGAACAAGAAAATCTTTACAAATTTTAAAGGTCATAGTTAGTTATTGGATATAATTAAAGCGATTTATTAAATTCCAATCAAATTATTTTCTATTAATATTAAGTAATACAAGAAATTTAAGAATGGATATTTTCAAACAGCTTACACATCATAAAAAAGTTATTTTTATATTTTGATGTTTGATATTTTGACAACTCTATATGTTGAATAATATGGATAGTTTATATTTTGACGTTATATTTTGACAACTCTATATGTTGAATAATATGGAATTGTGGTGAAAAGAAATATCACAAATTATTCAACTAATCGTAATAATTTCAAGATTGAAAACTGGGAAAACAAGAAGCAAGAAACACATAGAAGATCTTTACATTGTTACAAAGTTCTACCAAACCATTTCTATCAATACTGAATAATACAAAAAATTATTTTGAAAATGGGCATTTTCAAAAAACAAAATCTACATATATATATATATATACATACATATATATACAGGGTGGGGCATTTATCTGAGACAAGATAATATCTCGATGGAGTCGATTATTTTGAAAAAAGTTTTAGACAAAAGTTGTATGGTTTCAAGGGGACATAAAATGGTGTCATTAGTTTGATCTTGAAGAGCCACCTGAAGGACACGCGAAGGTCAGCTCCAACTTTTTAAATGGGACACCCTATATGCTTTTGCATATTCTTGTAGCTCATCTCAAGAGCTTTCCAAAACACTATAATTAAGTTAGTTTTCATTAAGTACTTTCCAATTTATGAGGCTTGAAATCATTTTTAAATTTTACATAAACCGTAAAATATCTTGTAAAATATTCATTTTTCGATTATTTTACCTTAATACTTTTATGTACAAAATAATGAGAAAAATCAATTGGTGTAAAGAAAACTCATAGTTGTTTCGAAAAAAAAAATGTAATTTGCAATTAACAATTACATATTTTTTTCTTAAAAATAACTATGTCTTTTCTTTACACCAATTGATTCCTCTCATTATTTTGTACATAAAAGTATTAAGGTTAAATAATCGAAAAATGAATATTTTACAAGATATTTTACGGTTTATGTAAAATTAAAAAATGATTTCAAGCCTCATAACTTGGAAAGTACTTAATGAAAACTAACTTAATTATAGTGTTTTGGAAAGCTCTTGAGATGAGCTACAAGAATATGCAAAAGCATATAGGGTGTCCCATTTAAAAAGTTGGAGCTGACCTTCGCGTGTCCTTCAAGTGGCTCTTCAAGATCAAACTAATAACACCATCTTATGTCCCCCTTGAAACCATACAATTTTTGTCTAAAACTTTTTTCAAAATAATCGACTTCAATCGAGATATTATCTTGTCTCAAGATAAATGCCCCACCCTGTATATATAATATAATTTTTTTAAATAATTATTAAATATTTAATTAAGTTCTCATCAAGAAAACATGATTAATAAGTGTTTGCTTTTTGATATATATATACAGGGTGAGGCATCTAAAACAGGCCACCTGAATAACTCCGTTGGTAAGCCGAATACAAAAAAATTGTTCAGACAAAAGTTGTATAGTTTCAAGGGGGACATATGATGGTGTCATTAGTTTAATCTTGAAGAGCCACCCGAAGGTCACGTGAAGGTCAGCTCCAACTTTTTAAATGGGACACCTTATATGCTTTTGCATATTCTTGTAGCTCATCTCAAGAGCTTTCCAAAACACTACAATTATGTTAGTTTTCATTAAATACTTTCCAAGTTATGAGGCTTGAAATCATTTTTTAATTTTACATAAACCGTAAAATATCTTGTAAAATATTCATTTTTCGATTATTTTACCTTAATACTTTTATGTACAAAATAATGAGAAGAATCAATTGGTGTAAAGAAAACACATAATTGCTTCGAACAAAAAAATGTAATTGTTAATTGCAAATTACATTTTTTTGTTCGAAGCAATTATGTGTTTTCTTTACACCAATTGATTCTTCTCATTATTTTGTACATAAAAGTATTAAGGTAAAATAATCGAAAAATGAATATTTTTACAAGATATTTTACGGTTTATGTAAAATTAAAACATGATTTCAAGCCTCATAACTTGGAAAATATTTAATGAAAACTAATATAATTGTAGTGTTTTGGAAAGCTCTTGAGATGAGCTACAAGAATATGCAAAAGCATATAAGGTGTCCCATTTAAAAAGTTGGAGCTGACCTTCACGTGACCTTCGAGTGGCTCTTCAAGATTAAACTAATGACACCATCATATGTCTCCTTTGAAACCATACAACTTTTGTCTGAACAATTTTTCTGTATTCGGCTTACCAACGGAGTTATTCAGGTGGCCTGTTTTAGATGCCTCACCCTGTATATATATATATATATATATATTATATATAATTAGTAATATATATATATATATATTGTAATATATCAAAAAGCAAACACTTATTAATCATGTTTTCTTGATGAGAACTTAATTAAAATAATTATTTTAAAAAATTAAAATAATTCCATTGACATACAGCATATGTAGATTGTGTCCTTTTCTATTTTTTCTGAGTAGATTTGCAAAATTCAGAGAAACAAAGAGAATAAAAAATAAAATTAAAATCATGTGTAAATGATATAAAGAATTGCTATCTTGAACATTGCACACATTATATATGAGATTATTATTATTCAAGAAAATGTTCATAAACTTTCAGCATTATTATTGATTTAATATGAGGATTTTGATTTCATAAAAGAATCTAACAAATAATAGGAATAATATAAAATATCTGGATACATTTTATATTATTACATCTTTGTTCTATTTTATGTGGCTATTATATATTTGTTCTTTTATATAATATATTTGTAATATATTTTTAATATATTACATATATTTATATGTATATATATATACATATATTTGTAATATCTAAATTAAGATTAAAATATATTTGTAATATATTTTAATCTTAATTTAGATATGTATATTAAATATAAATCTAAAATCTTTTCTATATAACAATCTAGAAGCATCTATAGAGTTGTCTTTATATATATTTTGATTTATATTATATTAATTAAAATTATATGTATTAATTTTCTGTAAACAGTATAAAATGGATTCTTAAAGAAAGTATGTTTTGGGGGCATATTTGTTTATTTCTTTATTCCTCTCTTTACAAATAAAAAAAATGTAATTCTTCGACATGTAAAGCATTTAAATGTCCAATGATTCAATAATTGACTATTTTCACATTTTCTATGTGGTAATCAATGAAAAACAAATTATACAATAACATTTAATTTTCACATATGTCATTAGAATAAAAATTAGAAATTAAGGAGTAAAAAAAAGTTTGAAAAAGAGAAAATGTGCTATCTCTTGATAGAGTTCAAATAATTAAAATGTAATTATGTGATATATTTTAATATTTTTCTTCGTTTCTGAACATTTTGTGTAGATTACATAATATAGTTTGTATAGATTCAATTATTTCTAATGGGATATTTGGAAAAATAAGTGTAACATATTGTACCTTTTATTCATTTTCTTGCATCTAATTCACATAGCTATATACATATAATTATGTAATATGAGATCAATACCACACAAGGGAAGAAAATTTCAGTTTACAGGAAAATAATTGTTCCAGAGTGGCATTTAAATCGTAGTACTTTCTGTGTTTTTAATGGAATAGATATCCAAGAAGAAAAAGTACTCTAGAATAAAATAAAAATCTGCAATATTTTAGAGTTTATTACTATTTCAAATTGGCCTATAAAAAAATAATATATTAATCTGTACATACTGTATTAGTATTAATTTAATCGCTAAAAGAATTTTAATGACCACGTTTGTTATAAATTGTGAATAGAAGGTGCGTGTACATTATGATTTATTAATATATATAGTATAAAAGATTCCGCACATTTTATGTGAAAAAAGTGGCTTCAAATTAACTAAAATTAAAATATGTTATAGTTTAGGCGGTGCTGATTAAAAGTTTTCTCGTGGAAAAAAGTCTTAAAGATTATAGTAAAAGAAAATGTCTTAAAGATTATAGTAAAAGAAAATGTAGATTAAAATATATTGAGATAATTATAAACATTTGTTTTAGATTTATAATATGTGTTATTGTCTATATTAAATTTAAAATACAATTTTTAAAATATAAGATTTTTGCGTTTATTGCATATACATCTTGGGATTTCACTGCCATTATGTTGCTCGTGCGCAAAAAAGTTTCTTCCTAAACAGCATTAATTTTTTACAAAGAGAGGTTTAAGATCTAGATTACGTGACAATAGCGTTTTCGACATGGACGTAAGAAATACTGGTCAGAGTGTATTGCTGCGGGGATGAAGCTCAAATGGTGAGGGAAAGAAATGTCTACTGTAACGGAATATGAGGCATGTAAGATGGCGACGAATATTAATTTCACGGAGTGTGATATTTTTGAATTTCTTAATATTCAAAAATGATTCGGAATAACACAGCGATATCAGATGATAGATGATTTCACGGAATCTCTCATATTTTATTCGATTTACGTCCATGCGACGTGAAAATAGATGCTAAATCTGATGCATCTAAGATGGCCGCGACAATAAACCCCTTAAGGTGCAATTTCATTGACGCTCAAAAGTAGCGTCAACAATTGGTTGAACAAAGAAGCAACTACTTACTTCTTTGTTCAACCAATGGTTGACGCTACTTTTTAGCGTCAATGAGGCCGCATCTTTCCATCAGATTTCACTCCCCTCGTCTAAAAGAGTACTTTATGCTCTGTCCAGTATTTCTTACGTCCATGGTTGTCGAGTTCAATCGTCCCAGGGTAGATAACTAGACGTTATTGATCAATCACAGCCATTCTTTTAGAGAATGTAACTATATATTCTTCAGAAGAATGACTGTGATTAGTCAATAACGTCTAGAAAACTACCCCGGAGCGATTGAGGCTGCGTTCCAAAATTCACTGCCACTACTGAAAATCTATAGTTTACGTGGCGTACACTATAGTTTTTCAGTACTGGCAGTGAATTTTGGAACACAGCCTGAACTCGACAAGTCGAAAACGCTATTAATAAATATCCACTAGCATTATGAGCTAAGAAACAAACTTCTTATTATCAAATACAAGAAGGAAAAGAAAAATAAATATCATAATGAAGAAATCAGGTAGGTGAACATTGAAATTTAGTTTCAGTTACATATTTCTTCCATTTTTGACATTATAAATGATACATATAAATTATAAATTATGTTAGGTTAAGTCACGTGCATATTATAATAAAATAATATATAACAAACTTATAAAATACCAACTTTTTTTATATTATTTGAAATACTTAATATTCAGATAGATGATAGATGATTATTTGTTCTATAAATAATTCTGAAAAATTTA